CCCAAATCTTCTGTCAAAATTCGCTGAACTGAGCTCCAAGTCACTCCCGACAGCTCCACAATTTCTTCAATGGTCCGTTGTCGATCTTCCTTGATGATTTCACGAATTTTTTCAACATTTTCATGTGTTCGGGCCATTGCAAACACGACGATCACACAAAACAGTTGTCACTATAAACTCTGCCGAAACTAGTCCTTACCTTCTGAAGCAACGGTAGTCGGCTTATCGACTCAGGAATGTTAGCTCTATGCGCTCATAGCGGCAAAACGCGGTACTACAAAAGCTCTGCCCACAAAAAAATTAGTTCGGTCTCTTTTGGGTACCCCATCGTATTTAATTAATTCCTTGTACTCATTTCTGTTAGAGGCTGGGTTGACCCCAGGGCCATAGTGGGGCTGGAAGAATTAGGTCAATTGAAAAATATTCAATAACCTCATTGGGACTTGAACCTGTGACCTTCCAGCTTGTACCATAGTGTCTCAACCACTACGCTACCGCATGCCCCCTAAAGTAGTGATAGTATATTAAGTTATTTAATTTTATGCCATTGTTAATTGTTCCTGAGACTGATAAACAGTACTTACTAATATTATTTCCATTATGGACATGTATTACTCTTGTATCTAAATGCTGCAAAAACTGACATACCTGACTTACATTTCTAGTTCATTTTCACTTTGGATAATGTGTAGTGCACTCAAAACATTTTGGATGACCAGCAGTGATGTACCTAAACATTAAGACTGCATTATTAGTTAAATTACACTTTTGTGTAATTTTCATAAATTGCTTATATTTTCATGTCATTTCACTAATTTAGATAGGAAGGGGGATTCAAATAGTAAACAACTCTAAAAATGTGACCATTCTAATTACACCATTTTCTTCTAGTCTTAAAATAATAGTAACTTAAAATTAACCATTGTGAAGTTTGACATATTAATAAATAATTTGTTGCTTTGTATTCTTGGCATTCTTTGTTGTGAAATGGACTGCAGGTGTAGGTAAATACAGTGTAGAAACTGTATTTTTTAACTTGGTCATGAAGAAATTGATAGTCAAATAAATTATATGTTTCATATATAACATCATGTTATATAAACTGCACGTAGCTGTAGGAGATATCCAAGAACTGTAATGAAACTTGTTTAAATGGAATTCCACAGTCTTGCTGGGGAGGTTGTACATATTTCAGATTAAAAGAAAACAGCAGTTTTTGTGTATGCATGTATAGAGACAGAAATATTCCAAATAGAGACCCATTGAACTAATTGCCCTGTCTTCTTT